ACCCAGAACCGCCGCACGAGCTTCTTCCGCGCCCCGTCTACGGAACCGCGAATCATGACCGTTAACGATGCCACGAGTGAGTGGGTGACGGATTCGGGCGGCCGTCAAAGCTCGGACATGGGCACAAACCTCACCGAAAAGGAGCGCGAGTATAGAGACGAGCGGCCTGCGGAGCCCCTTGGCATCGTGAAGCGGGGCAGCGTTCGCAAGAGATTGAGCATGCTGAAGCTGGGCAAGAAGTCCAACAAGGCCGGTGCTATGGGCAGCGTGCACGAGGAGTAGGACTTCACGGCAGCGGCAGAGCAGCTGGGTTACATGAACAAGACGACGGGGGAGTGGCAGTATCCTGTGTCGTGAGTACGACTCGGGCGGGGGAAAAGAAAAACAAGGTGTCTTTGAATCAGGAAAGGGGCGGATGTGTACAAATTTGTTCACGATGGCCTTCAGGGATCGGACAGTGGGCTCAGGATATTTATGGGCTTTTTTCGCGAATTTCGCCGGCGATGAGAGGTTTGGGAGGGGCGATGGTGTTCTGGATATGTATCTGTAGGATCCCCCACATCTGCACGACAGCCACAGCGCAGCAGATGCAGTTTCTTGTCTGGTTCTCCTCTTCGTGAATAATAATTTCCTCTCCCATTTGTATGGGAGTCTCACAATTATCTGTCTATCTGTCAGTGGTGAACCTAACGAGGCTGAGACCCGTCACATCTTCTAACGCAGCACAGCCGCTACACATCGCTTGGGACTGCGTGGTCCACGTCTGGACCAAGACCCTCTGGTCTGCACCCAGGGACTTTTGTTCGGTCCATAAATCACCATCAGCCTGTCTTGCCGAGAGTCCACACACTGACAGATCGTTCCTTCCATCTGACCAGCTTCCACAAGCCCACGTGCCCGCGGCGGATCTTACTCCTCGGAAACCATCCGAGAAGCGACCTTGATCGAGGCTCCTGACATGGACCACACGACCCAACATGGCAGAAGCAAGCGGCCCGATAGTCCGATGGAGAGAGAGAGGGGACCTCCTCTCCCCCCGCCATCTACCGCATTAGGCCACTACATTGGAAGACCTGCAGTCCGAATAAGGCATGCGCATCGATCTCGGCCCGCCAAAAAAACAACGGGGCCGGCCCCCCGGCACGCCCTACATGATTCAGTCGCAGCCCGCTCCGGTGCGACCCAAGACAGCTATGCGACCGCATGCGAGCATAGCTCCGGCCGGTTCCCGTGCAAGCGAGATTTGCCGCCGGGGAAGAAAGGATGCGGTGGTGGCACGTGGGTGATAGATAACACTATAGGGAGGTGGGCGGGGAGAGGGCCTTCGTGGGATGCCGATTGCTCCCCCTGGGATGTGTTTTGGGATCCTGGTGAGGGCAGGGTGTCGTTGGGTTTTGTTCCCCTTTTTGGGATGGGCTTGGGGAGGGTGTTGGATCGGATTGGGAAGGAAGGTTGCTATCAATATTGGATTGGGGGAATGGGTGGTGATGGGTTTGTATAAAGCTATTGGGTTAACGGCGTGTCTGCTGTGATTGAGGATGCCAATCATCGCGCCTCTCTCCCTCTCTCTACAAGACCGTAGGCAAGCTCCTCAACTAGCACCTTCATCTCACTCTCTTCGTATCCCTGAGCTGTAAACTAAGACCGCCTCGCCTCGCCTCGCGCCCCCAATAACCAAACCGCCAACCAGCATCACAAACCCCGCATCCCAAAATGCAGCTCCCCAACCTCTCTCTCAGCCTCCTCGTCGTCCTCCTCCTCGGCGCGACGGCGACGGCGCAGAAGACGGGCCCGAACGGCAAGCGCATCTGCGTCGGCGGCGCCATCTCGTGCCAGTACGAAAAGGGCCGCTGCGCCAACATCTGCGGCGACTCCTTCGTCAACGGGCAGGGCACGCCGGCCTTCATCGACCCCAACTGCTCGTGCCCCGAGGGCCAGGCGGATAACAGGTACACGGGCGCGGCGTGTATCGATGTGGTGAGGGCGTTGGGAAGGTCGGGGTGCTAGAGGGGTTAGGGAGGGGATGTGTATGAGGAAGAAGTGTGAGAGGATGTCTGGAGGTTTTGATGGTGGGGAAATACTGGCTGGTGTAATCGCGTATGGGGATGTTCAGGTACATACTTGGAATTGGCAATTGAACATAACTTCTACCTTGTGAGGTAAATTGAGAGTGTTTGACACGTGAGTCTGGGTGAAAGTGGTTTATGAAGACGTTTTCACTTTGTGATTCTTATAGATTTGGTACTTTCGCCTGATAAGCATGAAGCTTCAGATCTATCTATCAATTACAGAGTTTCCCACGCCGTCGATTTAGTGAGTCTATATTGTAACTTCTCCTTGGTGCGGGAGATAGTTTTCTGCCGTTTCTTGTCACATCATAGGAAGAAGGCCGCCCAAAGCTGCCCATGAAAGCTGAAAAGACCAATGGGAACATGGGAGAGATGAGCTTTGGGCTGTCAGGAGGCCTCTCCGCGAGGGAAGGCTGGGATATGGTCCAGAATGGCGAAGAGTAAGACAGCCAAGTCCAAAGGGAGCCGAACGATCCGGCGTCGAGATTGTTCAGCGGCAAATACACATTGCGTATAATGTAGGTGGATATTAAATAGAAAGTACTTGTTACTGAGGATAGGAATTGAATTTGTTAAAAGGCGGTGGTACTCTCGTTCATCGTTCAACGGGTCGGACCTCGTACAATGGCGCTGTGCGGAGGGGACGAGACGATATGTCGTGAGAACAATATCTTGGCGTCAGTGCCCAGCATGGGGCTGAAGTCCCTTGGCTTAGTGTTCTAGACATGCCGAGAAGGACAGAGTGCTTAAAAGACAACTGTAATAGTATAAATAATCCGGAGTCGAGATGGCTTGTCCACGCTCCAGACGTGCTTCTCTTTAGTCTTCATCATAAGCCGGGCACAATCACCCACCAAATCCTTGCCACACACATACCGAAACAGTCCTCAAGATGCCCTACGACACGGAAGTCTCCACGACAGCCACCGTCTTCGACACAGAAGACGACAACGGCATCTGGACCTTCGCCGACCTCGCAGGCGACGGCTCCCTCGACCTCGTCTACATCAAGACCCGCGCCACCAACAGCGGCAAAGTCGAGCTCCACGCCGCCAGCCGCAGCTCCGCCTTCCAGGACCGCACCGCCAACACCCCCACGGCCTTCGACGCCGTTGACGAGGACCCCGCGGCCTCGGGACACACCTTCCTGCTGCGCGACTGGACCGGCGACGGCCGCGCGGACCTCATCCTCGTCAAGACGCGCGACACCCCCGGCGGCAAGGTGGAGCTCCACGTCGCCGCCGCGGACGCGGACTACCAGTCCTACGCGCTGCAGACGGAGACGGCCTTCGACTGCGAGGACGGCGGCGCGTGGACCATGACGTACCCGCGCGGCGACCACCTCGTGTACCTCAAGACGCGCGACTGCGGGTCCGGGATGGTGGAGGTGCATGCGGCCGGCCGCGGGGGCGGGTACCAGAGCCACGACCGCGGCGAGCCGACGGCGTTTGAGGCGGAGGAGAACGGGACGTGGTGTCTTGCGCCGCGGGCCGTTGATGATGGGGAGGGCGGGGGTGGGCTTGCGGATTTGTATTATGTCAAGACGAGGGAGACGGACTCGGGGGTCGTGGAGGTGCATGCGGCGACGGCGGAGTCGGGGTGGCAGGATCGTCCATTTGGGGTCGTCTCGAGCTTCGCGCCGGGCGAGGATGGGCACTGGGTTTTGGCGGATTTGAATGGCGGGGAGGTGCTTGATTTGGTGTATGTCAAGGTGAGGGATACCGACAGCGGTAAGGTTGAGATTCACACCGACGAGGTGTAGCCCTCTGTGATGCTCTTACTGGGATTTCTTCACTCTCGCGGGAAGAGCCACGGGCGTTGCCTTGCTGAGCGACGAATTCCACGTAGGAATAGCGGCTTCGTAGCTCCAGAAGCCCTGAGTCGAGGGGTGGCACATCTAGGGCTGACTATACTTCAACTTTCTCCATGCTATCTCTTAGACCAAGACCAGCGGATGTCTATCGTATGATGGGAGAGCCGCGAGGAGTGTATCGATGTGATTCGCATGTATACGTTATGAGCCTTCAGAACATATCGGGTTGCCGTGGCTGCTAATGCCAGGCAGAGGCAAAGCTGCAGCTAGATATAAAAGCGTCAGCCGCATGTACGACTTACTGAGATTATTATTCGGAATGTCAGCATGTGTCGTGAACCCTCTGGAGAAATAACGCAAGTACATTAGACACAAATTGATTTGTGACGCTTTTAGACTGTCGGAGTTTCTCCATGTTATAAATCAGACCAACTGCATACATCAGGATATAATTCTTCCCTCGAAAGCCTGGGCCAAATTCTGACATAAAATGTATCCGAAGGGTGACCGCATCTAACTGGAAAGCCAGTTTGAACAGACACCTAGCGTGTTGAATGTTTTGCTAGCGGTTACAGTGTTGCAAGTCGTTGCAATCTGAAAAGAACTTCTGTCATTGCATGTCAGTCACTACACCATTATCGGACTACGTGAAGGAGGGACTTTCGGTGACTCTTAGCTGCTTATGTCGGGCTAGACAAGGCCACCCCGGTACCTTCTTCATTTAGCTGCAGATCGCAGAGGCTCTTGGGCTCAACCGAGAGATGCCATGGTCTGGATTCGCAGAGAATCTAAAAATACGGTTTAGTCTTGTTCGCCATTGTGGGATCATCTCACGACCTGGAGCACCATGGTCATTCAATCCTACATGGCCCCCATGTCAGCGTCGGCCGCTCCCGAAGTCCCGTTGACGAAGCTTTACAACCAATGAAGCACTTGAAAGCTGCTCTTTGGTATCTTAGTTCCTGAAGCTAAATCACTACTGCCTGTTGGAAAAGATAACACTATCTTCTGTATCAAGTACAAAAGCGAGGGCGGGGACTGACATTATCTCGACATGATGTCTCACCAAAGTCATCCATTCTGTAGTCTGCTTGCTCTTCAACCCAGTCCTTGTTACAATGGGTCAATACATTTCTACTTTGAAGAGACATATCCGAGCTTCGGACAGGCGAACTCGGAATCTAAAGGGTCTTGGGCACAAGTCCAATAGCCTTGCAGATTCTCCGGGGTCCGATAGCGACAGTGGCAAGCCAAAACAAGATCTAGCAGCCACCCTTCGACCGATCATCACCTCATTCGTCTCCGACATTGGCTGCATTGACCCTGCGCCAGAACCAACTGAAGCTTTATGGGTTGCCATGCGAGCCTACGCCGATCAGCTGGGGGTAAACTATGACAAAGACACTCACTCTTGGAATTGCTTCCAGATGGGGATTACCTATTCAGCTGTAAGCTTGACCTTAATACTGGCCATTCATAATAACGTGGCACTGTCAGTAAATACTGACGTACTTCAGGCCTGCTTCCCAAAGCACTCACTAGAGGTTCAAGTCTACATCGGCACGTATACCTGGCTTGGAATACTCATCGACGACGAAACCTCAAAATCACCAGAGGATTGCTCAAAATTTATCGAACGTTTTGCGGCAGAACAGACGCAGCCTACACCCCTCCTCGAGGGATGGGCAGAACTTATGCGTCTGGCATTCAAATACTGGGACCCGGTGGTGGCCAACTTCATCGTCACAGCCTCACTTAACTTTGTCAATGCAAACGTCCTCGAGAACCGGCAGGAGTTCAAGAAACTCAAGCCAACCAAGGGCGGCAAGAAGTGGCCCTGGTTTATGCGTGACAAGGACGGCGTTTCAGACGCGTATGCCCTTTTCACGTTCCCCAAGGATCAGTACCCAGACATGTCGAACTACCTAGAAATGATTCCTGATATGTCTTGCTATCTAGCTTTGACTAATGACATTCTGTCGTAAGTTCCGATTGCTATCTTTGCAACAGCTCGATTTCACTAATTCAATTGCAACCGGTCAGATTTTACAAAGAGGAAAGAAACGGCGAAGTGGACAATTATATACACGGTCGTGCCTGGTATGAGAATAAGGAAGCTACTCAGGTTCTTGAAGACGTCATTAGTGAAGTCAAGGAAGGCATTCGTCGCATACGTGTCGTTCTCGATGGAAGAGAGCCATACCTACAGGCTACCAACGACTATATACTGGGTTATGTCGCTTTTCACAAGTTTGTCAGGCGATACAGACTATGGGAGGTGGGCTTGGGCGAGCATCAGGCGTAAGAACTTAGTATTGGGGATACGCGGCCCTTGAAGTGCTACCAGACTATTGATTTTTATATATACACTGGATGGACGAATGTAAGGTGTGTATGTTGCTCAATTCTGACGTCCTCTGCCTGATACAAGAACGTGCCGGCTTTTAAACAACACCGCCAGCAACACTTTACTACACTTGGAATCCTCAAGATTCTAACCAGGCTCTCTTAAATGCATACTGCGTACTCGTTTTGGGCAGATTAGCAATCTTGCGCCCTTGGACTTCCATGATCCCTCCAAACCGGCCGTAGCCGGAGCTGCCACCAGTGCCTCCGTTGGGCACAGCGGCCTTTGAATAAACTGAGATGACAGCTTCTGACACAAAAACGGCGCGAAATATCAAGATCGCGCATGGTATCGCCAGCAAAGACGGTCGCGTTGAGGCTGAAGGTACTGTCGTTGGCCAAAACGAAAACCTCATCGTTGGCGACAAAGACCGTTAGTTAAACACATCGAGGGGCCGAAACTTTCTTTTTGGACTGAATATGCTATTTGAAGCGAAATTATTGTGGTATCATTGACGTCACCAAGGCTTCAAGCAAAACAATGTACAGAAGTTGCGTCCTCTAAACGCTTCATAAACCAAAGACAGCCGTCTTCAATCTTGGAGCGGCTGTCCCAGATACCCTTCCCCTCTTACATTCGATCTATATCGCCCCATTTCCTCCCATTCAGGGGGCGCCATGACGCTCCGCTTAGAGCGTGTAAATGAAATCAGGTCGCTTGTCGCCGGCAACCCACTTGTCCTCATCCGACATCGACGCCCACTTAGCATCCATCTTGCCTGCTCTGCGCGAGGAGTTCTCCCGACGCAGGGCAAAGTGCATGAAGACGGAGCCGCCGAGCAGGAAGAGGACCTGATATCCAAGAACGACGCTGTGACCGGTGTAGAAGCGGGGGGACTCGCGCTTGAGGTAAATGTTGGAGGAGACGACGCCGTTGAGGTTGCCCCAGCCGACGACCATACCCAGCACGAAGGCGCGCTTGAGAGATCCCTCAGTGTTATTGATGACCCAAGATAGTGTGTTGGAGATGGTTGGGTAGATTCCTGCTGCGCCCAGGAACGTTCCGGCGTATTGGACCTGCGGGTTCTGCGTCGAGATGAGCATCACGAAGCCGACAATACCGATGGTCACGGTCGCTATGTTGCAGTACCCTCTGTACCGCGTCTTGTCGGCAATGATACCGACAGTGACAGTCAGCGCGGCAGCAACGGCATACGGCGGCACGGAGAGAAGCTGAGCCTTGGTGCCGACGTGGCCCATACCGGTAAGAATCGTGGGCAGGAAGAGCGAGAAGGCGTACAGCGGGACAAGGCAGCCCATGTAGATGACCATGTAGCCGTAGGTCTTCCAGTCCTTGAGGCCGGCGTACATATGGCGCTTGTCAAAGTCCTCGGCGGTGCGGCCCTGCTTGTCGGCGAGTAGGCGGCGCTGGACGCGGATGCGCTCATCGGGGGTGAGGAAGCGGGCGTTCTCGGGCCAGTCGAAGACCATCCACCAGCAGAAGACACCCACGAAGACGGTGGCGAGACCCTCGATGATGAAGATCCAGGCCCAGCCGGGCTTGTTGCCGATGCCGTCCATCTTGGCGATGGCGGCGGCGAGGAGGCCGCCGAAGGAGCCTGCCAGGGCGGCGGCGGAGAAGAAGACGGCGGAGCGTACGCCGATCTCTGAGCCCTTGTACCAGCAGGAGAGGTAGTAGTTGACACCTTGACGGGTAATGTTGTTAGCGGGGGAGATTTTGGAGATGATAAACTTCGTGGCGGAGGGATGGTGGTGGCGCGCGTGAGGGGTGAAGCTTACCAGGGAAAAGACCAGCTTCAGCAATACCGAGGAACCAGCGGGCGGCGAGGAGGCCTGCGGTGTTGTGGCAGAGACCCATGAGGGTCATGATGATGCCCCAGACGACGATGATACCAGTAAAGAAGATGCGCGGGGTGAGACGCTTGAGGAGGGCGTTGGTGGCGGGCTCGAAGACGGCATAGCTGATGAAGAAGACGGTGAGGGCGAGGTTGTAGTCGCTGGGTGCCATTCCTAGATCAGCTTCCATGCCGGCGAGACGGGCATTTCCGATGTTGGTTCGGTCGAGGAAGGAAAGAAGGTAGCTGGATGTTCGTGTTAGCCGTGGTGTTGATGAGAGTGTGGGCACAGCTTTGCGGCTCAGTCTTACAGAAGGGAGAGCCATGGGACGAGCCAGAGATCGACTTTCCACATTAACGCCTTGTCCTATTTCAATAAAAAAACAGCGTGTTAGTTATGCAATGATTCTCTTGTCATCCGGAGCTGGCGATAGCTTCATCCGGCTCGGAGACGGGAAGCGACGTACAATGGCGGCCCGCTCTTCCGGCGTCTTGCCGTCATCGGGATCGGGCAGATCTGCGAGGGCGCGCGCCTTCTCGACCTGGGACTCGTGGGGTTTCTCATCCGAACTCTCGTTCACCTCCACATCGCGCTTTTGGTAATGTTCTGTCAAGCCTGCCATGGCTGTGGGTTTCTGTTGGGTAAGGCGAGGTAAGGGGCCGCGATTGCTGTTTGGTTGCTGCTGGTTGCTGGTGCCGTTGGAGCGGGTGCAAGAGAGCGGTCGCAAAGCGGTCTGTTGCCGTCTGAGGGGGCGACGGGATCCGAGGGCTCGTTTTTGTTTGCTCTACCTACCCCTTTGGACTGTTCGGTCAAATGCTCGGGTGGTTCAAGAGCAACAGCACGGACGGGATCGGGAGGAGAGGTGGTTGGAGGAGGATAGAGAGTGAGTTCAAAGAGGAGGTGAGAGGTGAGAGGCAAAGGGAGATCTGGTGGAAGAGAGAGGTGGTGAGAGGGTTTTGATGCGGTGGAACGCGGCAACCGGAGTGGAAGAGTAATGGGTGGGATGGCTGTGTCCAAACAAAACACCTCGATGGGCTATGAGGGGTAAGGTTAGGTAGCTGGAGAGACGAGGACCCGGGGTGGGATGAAACCTTGAGGCATCTTTATAAATGGCAGACCGGACGAAGGTGACGAGATGGGATGGACGAACCATGTCGCCGTCCGTCTGGGGCCCCTTCGTTTCTTTACCTATCACTCAGTCTCTTCCTCTCCATTGCTTCATGTCCCCTCCGTCGCCGCCGAGTGCTACCTCTGCCGATCCACCCACACTCATACAAAAGTTGACGAAATCAGCGAAAGGGAATGAGATGCGCTAGTATGAACGACGACGACAACATGTGCAGATTTTGGAGAACTGCCAAAAGATTGGGGGACTTTGCGCAGCTCTCCGCAAAAAAAAGACATCACTGCGGCATCCGATGGGAGGGGAACAGGGTACATTGCTGCGTGGTACCCTGCTTACCCTGTCCCGCTGCCAGTGAGAACTGAGAGAACTGGGTGACCATGTTTCTCTTCCAGGCCCGGTCGAGTCGCGGCTGCATGTAGGGCTTTTCTTCCTTCCTTCTTTTCGCATTGGGTAGTACGTAGCCTGCAGCTCGAAGCTTGCCCGCGCCGTTCATCACCTTGAGACTGCTGCCCAGACAAGGGGTCCTGGGGACTGGGGACATGAGAGGCTGGATGTATGGCGTTCTCTCCCAGTGTTCGATGCAGCCGGTCCCGGCCTTCTTCCTGTCGTGTTCCAGCGGCGAGCGAGGGCGGTGTCAAGTCGCATTCAGCAGGCCAACTTTTGTCCGTACGACCGGATTACTTTACCTGCAATGCGCGCCCAGAGCTCTTGGCACTTACTGTGAGCCACCCCGGAGGCGGGTTTGTTACTAGTGATTGGCCGGCAGACCGGGGGTGTCCGGGGCAGTTTCTGGTGAAGGGGGGTGACGGCCGGGGGATGGGCGGTCATGGAGCTAAGGGAGACCGGGGAGGGCATGGAGGCGAGGAGGAGGAGAATGGGAGAATGGGGGAGCAGATGGAGACGACGGGGGTCAGTCGACTGGACACGGAGCCAAGGCCAGAGGGAGGCGGGGAATTGTCTACACGGCGCAAGAAGAGAGACTTGTGAATGGCTCGTTTCGACCGTGAATAATCCAGAAGAAACATGAAAAGCCATGGGCGCCGAGACTGTGAACAAGATCCATGACTCGAACCTTGCAGGTTGCCTGCCAGAGTCCTGAGGTCCAGACACAATTGCAGGCAACTCACCCTCAGCTGTGCTGGAAGACACAAACACAACAGTAGCTGCTGCTGCAAGTGCAGTAAATGCCCCGGTTCTAATGAATTGAGGGTGGGTGATTTGAGAAAAAAGGTAGCCTGCAGCGCCCAGTCCCATGCCCAGGCATCATGTTTGTACGACAGCGTGGCGCACAGAAGGTCCGAATGTTTGCTGGCCGCGTCTGAAGACGCCCTAGGGTGCTCTAGGGCAAATGAGGATAAGCTGGAATGCGTAGAATATTCGACAATTCCCGCTCACTAGCTCCCTTGTTCCCGAGAGACTTGACAAGAATGCGATGATGCGCACCCGTTTGGCATGGCGGTTTTGAGTTCTAGCCACCCGCAGCCACGAGAACACTTACACTCACGAAAGACTCGACAGGTTGTTTTAGTTGGAGCATCGTATCGTCATGTGGATGATGAGACTTTTCGCCCTTCAATCGGGAAGGTGGGAGAACAGAGAGACAGGGACGCAGACAGGGGGCATGAGAGCGGCCCACGCATTCACAATTTCTGCACATTTCCTGACCAACAAATCTTCTCTCTTCCTCTCCAACCGAGAGTCCGTCAACAAGCAGCAAACATCTGTCAGCCATCGCTCTCGCCCCGTTATCGCCGTCTCCATTTCCCCTCACGGAGCTCTCCACTCATCCACCCTAATAAGCATAACGAGACTGGAGGCACAGTTCGGACAGTGAGCGAGCTCTCGGCAGACCAAGAGAACGAGCAGGGTTGGCCAGGTTCACAGCCCTCTTGAACCGCGCGCAAAAGTAATCCCCAAGAGCCAACAAGTGCCCAACGCCTGAGTTGGCCAAGGTTGCCCCAACGCCCCCCTCTCTTGTTCTCCTCCTCCCATCCCCCGCAATCCTTCCCTGGCGCTTCCCCGCACGAACGACCTCAGCGGCGCGCGGAGAGATGGAGGCGCGATGATGGGCACTGGTCATTACATCAAGAGGATCCGGCAGTGGATCACGGATGGCTGCCAGTCTAGGGGAGCTGTCTCCGAAGGAGCTGGTAGTTCCTGGGGCTGCATACACTTTCTCTCCAGGCTGTGCCCTGGTGCCTAGCGCAAGGCCAAGAAAGTTTTCTGTGTCTTTTGCGATCACGTTCGTTCCATTGGCGGTGGTGCCCTTCATTAATAAGACTGACGGGGTTCTGTCCGTTGCAGCCACCAACAAAACTGATACCGGGTAAAAGACCGGGGCTCTGTCTGTCTGCCTGTCACCTTTTGGCTCGAAAGCACATAATCAGCAAACACGAGCTTCCCTAGCCTCCCAAGCCCATGGAAACCCAATAGACAGACGGCTGCTAGGCTCTTGACCGACGGACAGCCGCATCGCCGTCAAGTCTTGGTGCACTTGGCACAAGTGTACGCCTGAATTCCACAGCCCAGGCCAGTGACCATCAAGAATGGTCGATGAGATAAGCTTTGCAGCCATTCACGTTGATGGACACAAGCAGCACTAGCGCCGCCTATATGGCTATCGTGATTTTCCATGACTAAGGATAAACCACGTCTCCATCATGTTGAACAAAAACAAGACGCCTTTCGATGCTGCTTCCGTCCGGGGAAAATCTGGAGAGCGCAAGGCTTGCTTAGATTTCCGGAGAGCAGGAAATCTGGATCTTGGTGGACATTTTCCCCAGCTTTTGATGCCAGTGTCGGCTCATCTCCGACTGAAAACAGACCACATTGGTCTCGGCATTGTGGCTCCCCTCCATCTCCATGATCCAATCCACGTTCTCCCTTGCACCGAATGGAGCACGGAGCGGCGAATGGGAAGCAGTTTGCAGCCGACGTTCTGTGCCTTGTTGCCTCTCTCGCCTGGTACCAAATGGACGGATCAGCTAGATTCGAATCCAAGATGATGACAGGTCCCGACATCCGAAGCACACCTGCCACAGGCTGGTCTAATGCTGTGTCCATGCTCTCGTTCTATTGCGTTGCTTCCCATTGCCTTCCGTCTTACTTGCAGAAACCGTACATGAAAGCAATCGAACACAATGTCAATCAGTCCCAACAAACTCACTAGCGTGGGCGTTATCCGATGCACATTCCATTCCCCCAACCATGCCAATCCTACACGGCCACGCGACGAGCGCCATCCGGGTGCCGGTGAGACCAATCATCGACTCGGCGCAACCTAGCCATTCCGGGGCCGGGTGCGGGCGGACCTGGAGAGCGTCAACTTTATTCGAACCGCCACGAGGAGAGTTCGGCTTCATGCGGGTGCGGCAGCGCCAGAATAGTCCCGTGGACGTTTTCTATCCGGAAACAATGGTCTTGACGGGTTCAGAGACTTTATGGCGTCTACTGATAGCTTCTAGGTTTCGTATTACTGCTACTGTCCCAAGAATCTGGGCTAATGGCTGAAGAAGGGAAGCATCACACGACCAAAGCCACGGCACACGACTTGAACCATCGAGGTTTAACGTATGCCCACCTGTTGGAAAGGTTGGTCTTCGTTTGTGGTCTGTTCACTTGCGGAGTGCATCTCACGACGTCGAATGCCTCCTCGGCAGCCCCGACTTCATTTACAACGTGGTGTAAGAGCCCAGACTAAACGGCGGTGCTGTGTTGATTCCTCGTAATGATCGAGGGCTCAGAAGAGATCGACATGTCCACGCCGGTCAAGCCAGTCGCTCTCACATGCATTTTCACCAACCATCTCCTAACGCACGTAATGCAAAGTCCCCTATCTCATATCCGATTGTCAATGCAACCTTGTCCTGGTCAAGTAGGTGACACAAACAACTGAAGTTTGCAGCCTCTCTCAGCTTCCCAATTTCCGCGGCCTCGGGCCCCTTGTCCGCTGCACGTTTCCTCTACAGACGCATGCTGAAGCCTCCGGAGGGGGCAAACATCCATACCAACCCCTGCGCGCTCGCTTCCTGTGGCTGCCCGACAAAGAGTGCAAGGCCATCCCCAGGGGTGCCTCGTTGAGATGGACTGAGGCGGACAATGGGCAAAGATCGCGGGATGCGACCGTCCGGCCATAATGTCCCGCCCGGACCTTTGTTCCCAACAGGAGCACGTCGCCGCCGCACGTTTCCAGTCCAGATCTGCCTCGAGACACGTGGTGTTTGCTGCGAATTCCCTTCCCTCCCATTTTTGCATGCATCTTCGTCTGAACTACTGCGACCGGCACGCTCTTCCGAGATGGGCCCAAAAGATTTCCAACAGATATTCCCGCCAATGGGCCCCGGACGTTGGGCTGTTGGTGCGTCTCGCACGGCTTCATCTCCTGTAGTGGCCTGAATTTTGCTTTTTATTCGAGACTGTCTCTCGCGAACTCTCAAAAATGGAAAATGCTCTCTGACACACCGTTCAATATGCGGTAGATATCAGTTGCCTTTGGTGGTTCGCGTTCCGAACCCTGGTCGCCTCCTGCGCGTAACGGAGCGGCGGCGATGCAGGCACCCAGCCGATAGAATCTATTGTATGCTTCCACCCGTCTTCTGTCGCCATTCCAAGTAAACAGTAAGAATTACTATCAATAACCACTTGCTACATCTTTCAGATGAACCCAGTGTACTTTCGCGTCTCCTGCCCAAAACGAAGCTCCGAGGCGCAGGCTCCTCTCACCGCCACTGTCCTGCACCGTCTTTCCGACCAACAATAACCCATCACCTCCCTGAAACCCTCCTTTCCAGCGTCCGAAATGGAACATAGAGCAGTCCAGAAACAACAAAGGCCAATTCAAAGCCGATGTCGCCAGTCACCTCGGCGATTGGCCCCGTCCACCACACCTGCGCCATGCAGGGGATGACCAGGGCGAAGCACAGCACGCAGGACCCCAACGCCGCCGCGCCGACCGGCAGCTTCCTCGCGTCGTCCCATGCCTCCGTCTCATATCTCTCGCAGTCTGCCTTGCGGAAGCAGAAATGTTCGACGAGGACGACGCTCAGGAAGGCGGCGGACCAGTAACCGATGAGCGCGATGAAGTTCTCGAGGCTTGCGAAGAAGTCGGTTGCTGCGCGAATTCCGACAGGTATGATGATTACCGTGATGAGGAGAGCGAAAACTGACCGAGGCACTCGTTTGAGGGCGGGCGCAAGGAGCTGGAAGTTGAGGGTTATAGAGTAGCTCGTCGCTGCGATGTTGCCGAGGAGGGTGAAGGACAGGACTACGGTGACGATTTTGCCAAAAGTTGACGCCGGAGTTAGCATCGCTGAGAGAACGCCGCCGACGAGGTTTTCGTCATATGCTTGTTGCCAAGCAGGTACCAGGGGTATGGAGGAGGCAATGGCGGCGCCTAGTATCATGAGGAGAATCGTGGGTAGGGCGAAGCCGAGGTAAGTGTATGCGAAAATCTTCTTTCTGGTTATCGTGTTAGTGACTAAGTCGGCTGTGAGGCATTGGGGGACTGACGATGATGTAGATGGCTCGAGATACGTCGTGAAGTCCGATGCAAGGCATGCCCAGGGGATCATGTATGAGGCCACGATCATACCGAATGATACGACGGACTGCGGCTTAGCTGGCTCAGTCGGAGCCCGTTCTCTCAAGTGAGAGCCGCCGCAGCCTATCGCGATTATGATGGCAATGACGGCGGGGATCCAAGCGAACCGTTCATACAAGTGTAGGACGGTGAAGCCGCAGAAAGAAATGACGAGGGCAAGCAAGGCAACGATGACGATCCCTACTGCCGGGCTCACGTTGCCCTCTCCCACAGCTGAGAGACACTGGCCGCCGATGACGGCCATGATCACACAGAAGCCTGTGAGAGTTGCAAGGTTGAGTAGCACAGGGACAGCTACGAGGTATCGGCTGACATGTATTAGTGAAAGATGCAGCGCCGCGAATAGGGGGACATATACCCGAAGCTGAAGCGCGCCTGTATCATTTGCCTCATGCCTGTCTTCGGACCTAGGGTCGATAGGTAGGCCGGTATTGGAGTGGTCAGGAGGGTGAAGAATACGATGATGAGTGAGGCATCGCGAAGAGAAAGGCCATACGTCGCGCCTAGCATGCCGAATGTGATACTGATATTGACTTAGCATTTCGCCTCAGGGGTAGCATGGGCGTTGCCTGGCTTCGAGGAGGTCGACTTACGGCAAGACATTGGCATTCATACACCACCAAAGGGTGAAAATGTTGACAGTTCTTGTGACGGTTCGCTCTTCAACTGGGATGGGAGCGATTCCTCGGACCTCAACGTGGCCGAGGGACATGAGTTTCTGGGCCCAGGCCCGCCATCCGCGAGCCTCCTCAGACTGCGCCTCGTGAATGGAGCTGGCGGTTTCAACGTCTCTCTTTACATCATTTTCAGAATCTTGTTTCTCTACGCCTGATAGCGTGGTATGTCGGGTGCTCGCCATACTTGGGGTCTCTTCGTGGTGAAGCAACACAGAGTCTTCACAGAAATATTCCCAGCTAATATAGTGGATCCATCCGGATTTAATATTCTGAACAGAACGATCAGGAGTAGTATGTAGTTCATCGTAGAGTCAATGGGGGCTTTCTTGGCAATAACAGCCTTACTACCTGTACGGCTATTCCCTGAAATTGATTTCTATGTCCAGGCTCATTGACGTCTATCTACCTTGAGAGCCTCTGGCGTCTTCGTTGCCGCACGTGGACCGACTGGAACATTTCCGTCTCTGCTCATGATAGCAATCAGGCAAAGCAGATTGCCGGACGCCAAGCACATCCATCAGATAAACACATTCATATCACGATAGCCCGCATTTCCATATCGCGACCCCTGCCCTTGTAAGAGCCTCCAGCGACATCATCGCGGCCGATCAGGGCCCAGACGGAACGACCCCACCACCCCCAGAGAGCCTCTGCTTATCAACTGTCGCCTCATTGGCAATCCTCTCGTGCCAAGTTTGGCTCGCCCTTGTTCTTAGCGCAACCGGACTTACTCTCCACCGCTAATATCCGGATCGCCTGTGAAACGGGCCTCGGAAGCCGTTGCCGGAGACCCGCCCTCGCCCATTGCGAACCGGCACCGAGTGGTTTGGCCGAGTTGCTGGGCGTGGGTCTGCAGGGGGTTCCACCAATTTTTTATCCTCGGGCAAGTTTTTCGTTGACCGACGGACGTTGTCCGGCTGGCAATCGCTCTCTTTCTGCCCAAGATAATTGCCCAAAGCTTCATCTCCTTATCATCTCTGCCATTCGAGAGATTGGGGGTAATTGAGGAGACCCATTTGAGTTGTTGTGAGCTTCCCCAGACTCGAGGACGACCGCCGGCCCCGTAATGGCCAAAGCTAAAGACGCCAAGAACGAGCCCGGGACCGGCCCCGTGCCGGAGCCCCTCAGGATCCCGCTCGGGGATGCTGGGGTTGCCGAGCCGTACAGCATCTTCACCCGGAAGGAGAAATGGTTCATTGTCGGAATGGTTGCCGTTGCTGGGTTCTACAGGTACGTTGTCAGACTCTAAGGAGGCGAGTGGCCGCATGACTGACGCGTGCAGCCCTCTACCTGCGAACATCTACCTTCCTGCGATACCTAAGCTGTCAAAAGCATTCGGCAAATCTGTTGAGCTGCTTAACTTGACTGTTACCGCGTTCCTTGCAATGCAGGGCATATGTAAGCACAACCAACCAATGCGAGCGTTTCCGCAACACTAACGGGCTCAAAACCAGCCCCGATGCTATGGGGTCCGCTATCTGATCGCTATGGACGCCGCCCAGTGTTTTTGGTCTGCCTTACAGTCCTCATCGGAGCTTGTGTTGGGATTGCTGTCTGCCCCACAGACGCGTTCTGGCTCTTGATCGTCCTCCGCTGCCTACAAGCGGCGGGTTGTGCTAGTACTATTGCATTGGGTAAGTGCTCGCGTGCTCACTTCAATGTTGATCAAGTGGATTAATGTGTAACAGGCGCGGGTGTGATCGGTGACATATCGACACCGGAAGAGAGAGGAGGCTTCTTTGGCATGTTCAACCTTGGGCCCATGGTAAGTGCTATGTGCTTGGTCTCTCTGAGGCCCTTTCTTTGCTAATCGTACTTAGATTTCGCCCTGCATCGCTCCCGCGATCGGTGGTGCCCTGTCTGACAAGCTTGGATGGCGATCAATCTTTTGGTTTTTGATTGTAATGGCGGTTTGCTGCCTTCTCTTTATCTTACTGTAAGACAACCCGAATGTTCCATCATAACCCCCCTTCTGACATCTCCTCTTTCTCTCTTAGGTTCCTACCGGAGACTCTTCGTAACCTCGTCGGCAACGGTAGTGTTACCCTCGGGGGCGTCTACACGCCACTGGTCCCTGTAGTCGGTCGCTCCCGCAAGAAGCAAAAGACAACGCCATCGAAGCCCGGGGTCCGCCCCTCCATCAACCCCTTCGTCATCCTCGTCTACCCCGATGTTGCGATCACATTGGCCTTCACTGGCGTTGTCTACGCTGTTAATAACACCGTAGTCACTACTGTTGCCTCGTCTTTTGCTAGGGTCTACCCATGGCTATCTGAGACAGCCCTTGGGCTGTGCTACCTTCCCACTGGCTTCGGAATGATTGTTGGGAGCACCTTGACAGGCAAATTTCTCGACTGGGACTACGCCCGGATCAAGAAGAGCGTGGAGGAGTCTGATGGGGCACTCGAGTTCCCGAAGGAGTACGCCCGATTGAGGACTATGCCCGTACTGCTTGTGCTCTTCTCGGGGGCGGTGATTGCCTGGGGCTTCTGCGTTGACAAAGGCGTACACATCGCCGTGCCACTCGCGTTGCAGGTCGTTTGTGAGTGATCTCGCAGTAAGGGAGTCCGTTTATCATGCTAACCTGTTGTAGTGGGATACACCTCAATCTCGATCCTTAACACCACGATGACGCTGATGATTGACATCTTGCAGACCAGGAGCTCAGCAGCAACCGCTTGTGTAAGTAACGCTCTCAATCAACGTCTTACATCTCTGCTGACTGTCACAGACCAACCTTGTGCGATGCCTGCTCGCCGCTTTGCTTGTGGGTCTTATTGATAGAATGACTGCTGCCCTCCGCGTGAGCTGGAGCTACGTCCTTCTAGGCGGTGTATGCGCCTTAATGCTACCTCTCATGTATATCGAGATGAAGTTCGGCCCAAAGTGGAGGCTGACCCGGGATTTGAAGTCGATTGAGGACTAGAGGTGTGAATCACACGGAGTGATAGATATAGACATAGAGCCGCCATCACCACCCGACTACTAATGAACCTGAATACTATGCCCCTAACCACCCTGTCTGTAGATGCTCTATTGCTTCAGCCTCCGTTACCACGTCGGCGTACTTGGAGTCCAAGTCAAACAGGTTAGCCTTTTGGATCTCCTCGCTGCGGTCGCCGCATGCGGACCCCACCACCTATACGCGACTTATTAGTCTTAACCCCTCATTACCTTAGTATTGATCTTGCTCACCATCGGCCGGAACCCATTCTGCATAGCATCCAACGTAGTTGCCCTTACACACCCGCTAGTACTAACCCCGCATATAACCACAGTATCGATATTTCGATACCTCAACTCCGTCGCAAGCGTCGTTCCAAAGAAGCCACTCGCATACTTCTTCTTAACCACCGCATCCCCCTTAGTCGGCGTCAGGTCCTCGTTCACCCAGTCCGCCAACCCTTGTGAGTGAAGCTCGCTTCCAATCTGCCACACAGCCAACGTCTTTGCCTTGAGCCAGAAGAGCCCTGCGTCGGCCATGTTGGGGTCGCCGTACTCCACCGCTGTCCACAGTACCGGCACACCACCTTTTCTGGCCGCAGCGACGAGACGTACTGCACTGGCCGGGACCCCAACTGCCGCGGGGTTGCCGGAGAGGTCGAGGGGCGAGCCAGGGGTCCAGTATGCTTTGCAAATATCGATGAGGAGGAGCGCATGGCGCGCGCCCCAGCCCATGCGGTTACCGTACCCGGAGGCGGCATACGAGGCGGCGTCCGGATGACCTTCTGTTGCCGCCATTGCTATTGGTGTATAGTATGGGTAGAGTGCACGGGAATTGAGTGGGCGAATGTGAACCCAAGGCAGCCTGCAACACTGAGGGGACGTTGATATGTTTTCGTGAGGGGTTCCTATTCATGGCCCGCATTGGCACTCCAATTGCCGGAAACGGGCAAAGTGGCCGCCCGCCCCCGACATAGATGTCGGCACGTCGCCCCACATTGCCGGCAATAGCTGCCGGCGCCGGAGGCCAGGCTTCTAAGACAAAGCCTCAATCAAACTGGCCAGCTGATGTGCCGAGACCCTCGAGTACGTCATAGTGTAAATCCCCATTAAGAAAGGCCGCAAGCTCAGCTTCGAACTGGTCGTCTGGGCCATCCGCGGTAGTGTTGCCCGCCGCGTCCAGGCCGCTACTATCCTGCTCTATAGACACTGCCGCTCCCCCGAGATGCTTCCCCGCTACCGGAGATGTTGTATTAGATAGAGGGCTCGCAATCTGCTGGAGGCCCCTTTGCCATCTGGCGCTGGTAGGCCATGCCTCATGTAGTTCACTAAGGACCCTGAGTGAGCCCATTGCCATGCCCTCGGCCTCAGAAGGGGCAATGTGCGGGCAAAGCTGGGGATTGCGCCAGAGATACGAGGCCAAGGACCCGCATATGTAGACGCAGAATACCAGAATGGCGGGGAATCCTTCGTCTCTGGATCTTACACTGAAGTAGGCCTCCACCTGCTCGTGTAATTCGACTACGTTGGCGAAGAGGTCGTGGGACATGCCTCTCCAAAATTCGTTTGGGGCTTGTCCCTCTTGTGGCAACGCATCTTCGGTCGTCGACGATAGCGTCCTGATGATTTGATCAATGTAGATGCGGCGGATAACAATGTTGCTCAACCGCAGTACCATTACCACGGACAGGTAGGCAAGGTGTAAGGACTCTGCTTTCCACCCTCGCAGATTCCATACACTCCATTTGTGCCTAGGTGGCATCTCTTCCTCCCAGCTCCGAAGCGAAGCTATCATCCTCGAATGATTACCCCCAGCCATCCAAGGCGCTCCGTCATCCGAACCGAGCCCCGGGCGACCTGCTCTACGAGCTACTTGACCCCAAAGGTTATGTGCTTGGATAAGGGTCGCGAAGAGGCACCGGCCAGGCCCTGTTGCCAACGAAGGGTTTGCCAGCGCAGGTGGCGTGCCGGGAAGAGCAGACCTTGTGGCAGGTACCACTCCAAAGGCAAAGTCGCTCTCGTCGCAGGGCAGATATGCTGTGATGTCGTCCAGCGAGAAGGGCGCCGGCGTGCTATATCCAGAATGCAGGTTCTCCTGGCTCTGTATCATCCAGAAGGTCCGCCTGGCTGACTCCGCTCGGACAAGCTGCTCGGCCTCAGTATCGGGTAGTAGCGCATAGGTCTCCTCACGGTGTAGCTTGAGTAGCGTAGCCATGCGGACTGCTACGCCCATATCCATGGAGCTTCTATCACGATCGCCGTTACCCCATTCCGCGATGGCCAGTAGGAAGAAGGCTTGGGTGTTGTCGAGAGAGGGGCGATACATCTCTTCAGACGCCAGCGCCCGCGCTGCTTTGAGAAAGTGGTCTGTTGCTGTGGTAGCAGAGCCATATCGACGCACCAAAGAGGGAGTACAGCGCGAAGATATTGATAGAATGCAGCAAAGGAGGAAGCGACTCGTGGATGCAGGGTTGCGGACAAGGTTCTCCTGGAACATAGCTTTTGGTATGAAGCCCAGCTGGAAGTAGGATGTCACGAAGGTTTTGCAGCCTTCGATTACTTCATATCCAGGTGGAAGTGATGGGTTGCTTGATGATTGGGGCCCCGAGAGTGAAGGAGGCGAGGCGTTTGGGTAGCTAGTGTTGGCTGGGGCTTTTGGTAATGGAAACGAGGCCAAGTCTCCTGCAATAGCCTCACCGATGTGGGACTCCTCTTGGGCTATCCAATCGTCGTCTTGAGTGGCTGATGACGCGCAAATGATGGCAAGATCTTCAACGGCTCCTTCAGCCATATCGTCATGAGCAAAGTGAGTCGGCATTGGCACACGGCGTCGAAACTCCCGGTCTGTGTCTCTTTCTCCTCGGCGAGGAAAAGTACAGGCTCGTGCCGCTTGTGTGCCAGCCAGCAAACATGCTTCACACGGAGGCTGCCGGTTTTGCTTGACGCATTTTGACCGGAGCCGTCGGCACCGCCGGCAGGCAGTGCCTCCGCGCCGTTTCACCGGCTTCGTTGCCGCATCGGCCGAATGTGGGTCTCCGGACTCGGTGGGGTCTCGGGTGGTCGCCGGCGGGCTCTCTTCAGTGTTTGAAGACATGACTGAGCTCCACTGCAGCCGACTAGAGGTTAAAGGCGGTCCGAGGGGCAGATTTCCATTGACATTGCCGCAAAAAAGGCAGTTGAACTGGAACAGGAGACAAATAAACCGGCAGAGGATCGGCCTTAACGGGCTGATAACAGTGGGCGCTATCTTGAAGGATTCGTCTGGGGAGATTGGCGAGCTGATAGGCATGAAAACCTCGGCCGCACCCCCTCGGTCTTATCTGTGTTGGGTCTCATGCATTGCCGACTGTTGCCCCGGGTTCTTTCCCGCCTCTTCAAACTTCAACCAGTGTATTTTCGCCGCCTAGATGGCTTAGAGCCACATAAAACTACCTGTTCATTCTGCGTGATGTCATTCTGCGGTCGTATCTCTGTTCTGTAGTCGCAAACCTGCCCAAAAGTTTCTCTCAACTGCTATACCCATTGACAATACCATGGACGCCATTCCCATTGACGGACCCATTCACTTTCCCGTTGACGCTTTTCCTTCCCAGGTTTGACAGCCCTGCCTTGGCCAAAACCTCTTCCACCTCGTCTAGATGCTCAAGGAAGTGAGCCTTGGCTCCATCCCACTGGTCTTCGGCGAGGTGCAAACCCTTTGAGCCCTCGCCCTCAATCGCCCACTGGGTCAGCATGACCGGCACACTGATGTGGAACATGAAAGCCACCGTCCCATCGCATATCCTATCTGGCTTCAAATCCTTTGTCGTCGCATTCTGCCATGTCTCATACGTCTCACCGTGCGGCATGTAGCTCGCCTCATAGCTCAGACCTCCCGGCTCGAGGACGTGACTGCTCCCGCCGTACGTGCCATACAGCAACCCCATCATCTCTGTGGACATGTTGCGATGGTAGTACGGCGGCCGAAAGGTATTCGATGTGGGGATCCACTTGGGCGTAAATACAAGAAAGTCCGTCAGTGAAACCCCCGGAACCTTGGACTTGGCAGTGAGCACACAGTACACCGTCGGATCGGCCTGATCGTGATTGACGTTGGCCACATTGATGAACTTCTCCGTCGCGTACTTGTACGGCACCAGGTTCCCTCGCCAGGCCACAACATCGAAGGGGGTGTGACCCTGCCGGCAGGCGTGCAATGACCCCGCCAGCTTGTACACGATCTCCCAGTCGGACGAATCCACGTCAAAGGACGCGACGGGACTTTCAAAGTCCTGGGGAAGCGCCATGCCGTTTGAGCCAATGGGACCGAGCTCCGGGAGCTCGTAGTGTGTACCGAAGATCTCCTGGATGTAACCGCGACTCGGGCCGTCGGGCAGGAGGACCCGGAAGCGAAGCCCGGCTTGGATCACCGCTAGCTCTCCGGGCCGAACCATAAGCCAGCCTAGCTCGGTTTGGATGTTGAGCCTCCCCTTCTGTGGGAGGATAAGAAAGTCACCATCGTTGTTACAAAACGCCCTGTTACTCATGGACGTTGACGCGGTGTAAATGTGTACGGCGATCCCCTCCCTCAATGTTGGGTCACCTTGTCCACCCACTGTTCGGATACCTTCAACAAAGTCACGCCCTTTTCTGCCCTGCTCGTCTTCCCCTGGTAACTGGAATGGGTCCCACGCCTGCTGTCCCGCCACGTATTTCACCTTGTCATTCAGAGGCGAGAAGCAGGCTTGCAGCAGGGGATTGAGCTCTGGCGAGGGCACGACCTGTCGGTGAGCAACGGACGGCCATATGCGGTACATCCACACATGCTGCAGCGTCGCACGCGAGCTGATGAACGATGAACCGTTCAATTGCTCCGAATACAGATCGAATCTGCATTTCTGAGGCGCATTCTGCCCGGGAGGCAGCGTTCCGGGCACCGCCTCTGAGCAGAACCGATTTCCGAACCCGGTTTGGTACCGGTGAGGATCCGAGTCAGTCGGCTCCGTGGAGAACGCCGAGGCGGCAGTGGCCCCGACCATGGCGCAATTGCTATTTTTTTGTGCGCTGGTGCGTGAGGGGTAGGGTATAAAGGAATCCACGCGGCTGATTGTGACTCGATGATGTAATGTGTTCAGCTGCAGGTCACTGACTAGACGTCCGTTACGTGAGTCGTCTTTTTGTCCGGCGGTCGTTGGGAGGTATTGAAGGAGACGTTGAAATGGAGACGGAGGCGAGAGCCGGTGGGATTTTACGAAAGTCGATGGGAAGTAATGTGTTTCAGGAAGCTGAATATTAGACTCTGAAGAACAGGTGATGATGAAAGCTTCGGTGAGCTCAAGGGCGAGAAATAGAGCGGCCTGGGCCAGAGGTCTGAGCTGCATTCCGCCATCTCTGTGTAAGACATTCTGCGTTCCTTGTCTCATCCTTTTCCGGCAATCTCTGAAGCTTATCGGGGGTAGGCTTGCAAATTGCCGGCAACCGGCAAAGCGCGGGCAAATAATCCGGCAAGCTCTTTGTCCTTCCCCGTCCCCTCTCATCCTTCGTCTCGAGGTTACTGTAGCCCACTAACCCCGAGACGAATGACGGCATTCAGTCAGCGCGAGGCTCGCTAGAGCTTCTACTGATGAACTAATATCAGCGTCTCTTCATTTACATGCTGGGCGACCCTCATCATGTCTTCTCCGGACTTTGGACGCAGGGTATATCGCCAAGAGCCTGGATCCGAAGATCTCTTCTCCTCGGAGGCAGAATTTCTATCCATTACAGCTCCAGGGCCCTCAGTTCGGCTACAAGTTCTGAGACACATGTCTATAATAACCTCCGAACCCCTCCCTTGACATATTTGCCACACGCAATGGCTCTGATCCAATTCGTCACCGTGCACAGCACGCGCCTCTTTGCGATCCTCCTCATCGCGGCTGCGGCTCTAGCTCTGCATAAGCTTATTGCCCGGCGCGGCTCCGCAAAACGCCGGAACCTCCGGCTACCACCGGGCCCACCCGGCGAACCGATCCTAGGCCACCTCCGCATCATACCGACCGACAATCCGGAGTACGCCTACGCCGCTTGGTCGAAAGAGTACAACTCTGATGTGTTGTACTTCAACGTGCTGGGACAGGATGTCGTTGTGCTCAACTCGGTTAAGGCAGCGGTCGACCTGCTCGACAAGCGCGGCGCAAACTACTGCGACCGCCCCCGCTTTGTGCTATTCGAGGAGATGGGATGGAAGAAAACGTTGACATTCCTCCGATGGGGTCCCGAATTCCGCATGCACAGAAAGATTCTCCAGAAGAGCTTTCAAAAGTCGAATATCCAGGTCTACCAAGACTTGCAAGAGAGGGAGGCAAAGACTCTGATTGAGGGGATTCTGAAGCAGCCTGAGGCTTGGGAAACGGCTTTGAGAAGGTTCGCTACTGCCATTGTCATGAACATCGGTTTTGGGGTGGAGGTTAAAAGCGACAATGACCCATATATCCAAATGGCTATCGACGCATCCTACGCTCTCGGCCACGGAGGGGCGCCAGCTGGCACTTTGGTTGATTTCTTCCCATTCATAAAGCACCTCCCAGACTGGCTTATCAGAGATCGCTCTCTCAAGTTTGCCCGAGACTGGAAATGGGCCATCCGGCGGATTCACGACGCACCATATGCCGCAGTCACAGCCCAAAAGTCCCCCGAGCACAGTCTTATCAAGATATTGCTCGACCAGAGAGAGACGCAGTTGAAAAGCGGTTTCTCAGATCTATCAGAGGATGACATCAAAGGGGCTGCCGGGGCTGTTTATGCTGCAGGGCAGGATACGACTTGGTCCACGTTAGTGGTGTTCGTACTCAACATGGTTCTCCACCCTGAAATCCAGGAGAAGGCCCAAAGAATGATTGACGAAGTCGTTGGGGATAAAAGGCTGCCAACATTTGAGGATCGACCAAAACTGCCGTATATCGACTGCATCGTTCAGGAGACATTACGATGGTGCCCTGTGTCACCAATCGGGGTGCCGCACCGGTCGTTACAAGATGATGTTTACGAGGGAATGTTCATTCCCAAGGGATCGCTTGTCTATGCCAATGCGCGTGCAATGACTCACGATGAACACACGTATTCTGACCCTGAATCGTTCAATCCTAATCGTTATATCCCCGTTGAGGAAGGAGGCCTTGGTGAGCCCTTTCCTACGGGACAATTTGGTTTCGGTCGAAGGATATGCGTTGGAAAGCACCTGGCGGAAGCGAGTGTGTGGATCGTGGTTGCATCTATACTGGCAACAATCAGTATTGAGAAAGCAACGGGGCCCGGCGGAAGAAAGATCGTCCCCCGAGTTGAGTTGACTAATGGGCTTACCAGCCATCCAAAACATTTCGAGTGTCAAATTGTCCCAAGGAATAGAAACAAAACATCTTCATAGGTTGATAGCTAGTCACTGGGGCTGCAATAGACGTTCTGATGATCTCAATAAGGCTCACTTCTTTTTCATCATGTGTTTTCTTCCTGATAGGGACATAGCCCGCAACCGAAGCGGGCAGCTCTCTTCCTTTATTTACGGGCTCCATATTGTGAAACCCCCTACTGGGTGAGCTCGAAACTTCCTCAACATTACGGGCTCCATACGGCACCTGTTGAGCTCTGCGATGACCCTTCACTGCCATTCGTGACGCAGTCATTCTCGACGAAATTCGTTACCGCCTTCTTCGGGTCATCATGGGGCGTTATCAATAACAATCTGACTCTTGCGCCATTAAAGTACGGAAGCTCATCTCCCCAAAACTGGACGCGCAACATGCCCTTCACAAAACCTCCCATTCGATCATAGGCCACATCGCCGTTCTGTTTTATTTCGCGCATAAAATCCTCTTTCATTGTTTCCGACTCCTCGGATGGAGCTGCCGAAGCCTGGTCTGTTGCAACATGTAGTCGGCAAATCCAACCACTCAAGCTTTGGTCCATTTTTGCGGTTACGAATCCGAGATAAAGAGAAATTCGTACTTCTTCTTGGTTTTCGTCCAAGTTCGTAAGGATATTGGGGACGTAAATATCGTTGATATTAACGGCTCCGCCTTTGTTCACCATGTCCAGCCACATAATTCTGTCGTGGGAATCGGTTGACAGCTGATGAAATCGGGCCCATGCAGACTGTAGCTTGGTTGACCCAAAGACTGGTAGTATACCATACCTTCCAGCCCAGGCCGAGTCTGTCGAAGGTGACGTTTCCAGTTTCACCCAGGCCGGAATTGGCAACGGCCTTTCCCTGGGTTTGTGTCGGACAACGAGTGGTTTTCGTTTTGAAGATCTCAAAGGTTCAAATAGTCCACGTCGAATCATGAGCGGATTAGGTGGAAATGGTTGCCTTGAGACGTATAGAGTTTTCCCATTGTCGTGGCCGGAGACCTGAATCCATGCCTGTGCTCCCTCGCTGTTTTCGACATCCAAGGCGACAATGTGGCCTGCCATACCTATGTATAGCATAGGGAGCTTTATCGACAAGCCTGCGTTCGTCATTTGATAAATAGAAAGGCCTCCAGTTTCGTCGAGATTTGGATCTCTTCGGCGAAACCTGTGGGAGTTTCTGAACGCCAGAGGCGAGGGTGCGAGAAAACTGGACCAGTTCATTGGTGTAATCGAGTAGATCCATTCCCAGCAAAAGATTGTGTGGTCGTTATCCGACTTTACAATCTCATCCTGGAGTCTTGTAAATGCCTTCATGCCCTCTCCGTATAGCAAAGACATATTGATGTTGAAGAGGCCCAGCATGCAATAGGCAAGATCTTCCTCACGAGTGACTTCCCGTTTCGAGAGCCAGAACATCTTCGTTGATGCATCGGCAGATAAAGGCGACATGGTACCATCGTTGATGAGATAGCCACGATCAATGCCAGTGGCACGGTATATTTCATCACACAGTGACGTTTCTCGGCTTCCGATGCTGGTCCAGTCGTATGCATAGAACACAACGCTGGTTGGGGCTAAGAGTTCCTGTAAGGTCCATCCTCGAGTGAACCAGCGACTTTCTCTGAACCGCTCCATCAGAGCATCCTGGTCGCTTTCATTATTTGTCGTGCCCGTAGGAACATCCACCAAATATGCGTAGCATATCTGAGACTGGGCATACCATTGGAACATGGAGTTAATAGCCTCAGATAACTCTGCTGAGCTCGTCTTGTCGATGCAGTTTGTGTCAACCCACAGCCATTCAAGTCCATCGGCCTTCGCCTGCTGACAGGCTCCATAGATCTTCGAATAGCCGGCTTTTCTGGACGCCTCTTGTAGGTCTTGCCATTCCTGGAACGACACCTCTGCATCTCCCCAGGTATGGGACAGTATGGCGTAAGGTGGTATATCCGACCCTGAGAACTCCTGGAGCTTGAACGAATTTACGTCGATGAGGCGCATTGTGATCAATGAGGCTTGCCATAAGTCGCCGGTCTCAAATCTGGAAAAGGCGGCCGACCTCGTGACCCAGCCGGGAGATTGTGTAAAGAAACAAGAGCTTTTCGTAGCCCCCCAGACGCGAAACTTCTGAGCTTTAATGCTGACGGTGAGAATCAGGCGTCGTTGGGTAGGTAAAAATCAGTGGAACCACGGTTTTTCCTTGTCGCGGATCCCGAGGCGGGCTTCATTGGGGCCACGCATATGCAAGTGAGCGGGACGTCTTGTTAGGTTAGGTACCCTCCGACCAATCAAACACTCTTGGCTTTTACGCAATATTTTCTTCAGCGGTCATAAACGTCATGTGAAGGGCAGCCTGTGGGGGTCTTCTGCTGGAATCTAGACACGTTTCATCTTGTATTTGCTTCAACAACATCGCTCCATCTGCCTTTACCTGACATTGGGTACTTATGGGCTTATGTCTATTGTGTCACACCTCTCCCGTATTGGCGTCTTCGGGTGGAAAATCATGCCGGGGCTTCTCTCTCGTATCTGGTCCGAGCCCAGCTTCTGGCCCTTGTTGTGCCGTCGCAGGATCACTCCCCAGATGAACTGGCGCGTGTTCGGTATGCACGCTACAAATACCGCGACGTAGACCTCAATGTCGGTCCACATGGCGGCTGGCATGATGAACGCTGAAGACGCCGTGTTAGCACCTGTCATGAGGGTCCTGGGGTCGATGAGTGCTCACCAGTTGGGTTGAGCGGATACTTAGCCAGCTCCTTGATAGTCAATATCCGAATGATGCTTACTACTGTGAGGCTTTGAGCTGTTAGCAGCTACTTACGACTCAGGGCAAGGGCAACCTTACAAAAGTCCTAGGCTGAACATGGACATGACGGCAATCTTTTTGCGCCGCTTCATGTTCAACCCCCAAATTTGGGTGGCCGGCAGACCCAGCATCCACAGGTCTAGGGCGACGTTTATAGTGCCCTGCCCCATGCCAGTGTGCTCTATGCTGATGCAATGCCCCTCCGTTTCTCCCGTCCAGAAGGTCCAGGCCAGATTGATGGGTTGGCACTGAAAAAGGGTGATGAGCAGGTAGATGATGCCGACGGAGAAATTGAAGGCATGCGTGCCCCAAACGACCCGTCGAAACTTTTCGTCAGGGAAAATTCTGAGGTACATAAAGAGAATCGAGGCTTTCGCTAGAGTGATGGTGCAGTGATAGAGTACTTGCAGTACGTAGAAGTTCTGTGCGAGTGTCAAAACTACTGCTCCATGGAGAAGGGATCTCTCAAAAATGAGATTCTAGAGGTTCGCGTACTAAGAAAAAGTGCGTAATCTCGTACGGAGTAAGACTCCAGAGATCTCTTCCAGCTCCAAACTTGCCCCCTGTGTGCACGCGTCAGCGAAGCTATATCTTCAGTTGGCGTTTGGCCTTTGCTCTCGTCACTTACAAAGCATGTCCGCCGAGAATAGGCCTAGTAATACGCACTAAAACTTTAGTCAGCTCAAAAGTCCGCCATATAGTCCCATGAGGCGGTATGGGTACATTGCGACATGGGATAAGCTCACGTATGCCAACACGATAGTGGTGTCGTCCGCCCCCCATGTAGCAAGTCGGGCGATCTTGACCGACACGCGAAGTACGACGGCCAGCGTGGGAAGCAGGGCAAATAAGATAATACGGGGCACTACGGTTGCGCCGAATTCGTCGTGTAGTGAGAAATCGCATGCGTCCTGGGTAATCTTTTGCGTCACTGCGTATAGAAGGGAGGAAGTCAGCCGGTTACTATCCAAGGGGTACGGATCCTGTCGTTCTTACCCAGAGCTTCCTTCACGGAGCAGCTTGCCGCAGCACAGCTCTCGACAAAATGGAGAAAGTCGGTATCTTGACACAGACATGCCTGGTCCGTTGTGCTGCAGTCTGAATTGGTGAGGCCTTCTATCAGGCATGGTAACTAGGGGTATACGTCTCAGCATCATCCCTAAAGTGAACGACCGCCATACCATGGATGTCTTACTGTGCAGTTTGGGTTATCATAGAGACGATCGATCTGCGCGAAGGTCGCCAAGGCGAGTGATAAGACAAGAAGCAGCAGCCGAATCGTGTACATGGCTGCGGCCCAAGAGTGAGCGAAACCTCACGCGTCAGACGGCAGGTTCCTCACTGCCGGTCGACGTGGAAAATCGGCAGTTGTGGCTCTTTGAACGTGGTTACTTTTGACGAAATGCAACGCTGGTTTGTCGTGGCATGAAGATGGAAGTTTGGAAAAACGTGATGTCGATTGCCGATAAATCCTATCTAGAACCAATTTCGAGCAAGATACGGAACCCCCACACGTGCTGCTCCGCCAGCCCGCTATCGGCATTCCTAGAGCCTCTTCGCATGTGGCGGGCTTCTCGAAAGGTCCCCTTGTCGCGTGGCTTGCGCCCTCCAGCCAGACAGGACTTCTCCTTCGCGTGAGACTGGTTAAGTAGTAGCGGCAGGCGTCGGAGCTGCCAGGGACATCACCGGATGGAGACTAGCCCAGCCGAGCGAGGCGAGAGCTTTACACTGAATGCGGCGTCTACATACCCAAAGAGGAAAATGCCACAGTTTATCCCAGGTTGGTTCCGGGGATGCATCTCCAGCATCTTGATCGAGACCTCAAAGGAAGCGCCATTGTCGGCGGCAAGGGCTGAAAGAGCCTCACGCCTCTTTGCAGGTTTCACCGGTCTCCTCACCGAATCGCCGACCCCGGCTGGGCAGCCATGGCGATTAGACCAAAGTTTCATGCCGGGCGGTGTCGTTAGGAGTGTACCGTTCAGCCGCCGATGCCCACGCCGACTCCGCGGGCTGCACCCGAGTGCAATCTCGCCCGCCGCAGCCCTGGCCCCTCCTATCATATCGCGGACGGCCAAACGAACAAACACTTTTATAACTCCCTTACTGGGCGCATGAGCCTGGTTTTTCTATCATCGCGATAGAACAGCCCTTCCTGAGATCGCATCGTTGAGATTCCTGGTCCCTCATGAAAATCATCAGGCTTGGCGGGCCGCGAAACGGCCCCGACTCCAAGTGGATCCGCCGAGGAAATCGCCGATCGGCGTCCGGGGAAGGGTGGGTCTCGGTGCCATGATCCACTCCGCCTTGGCACGTCCCGGAGATCTGGAAAGCGTCCCGCTCCAGGCCTTGTTTATCCCGCCTGCACACCCACCGATCGGCGCCTAATCAATCTCTCATGTATGTTTCCCTGCTTTTCGCCTGCCATCTACCTTACTACCCTGCATTACCTCCCCGGCCCCCAGTATTCCTTCCAATGGGCTGTAAGGTTGGTGGTCCAGGCTCGCTCTCTTGTTTCCTCCTCCGCGGATTGGCATTCTACTTTGCCATCTCACCTTTCCCATTCCACGGAGCTTTTGCGATGCTGAAACCTCGCCCGCGACCCTCCGCATCCGCATGACAGCCGCGCGCCATGGATCGAAGCTTAGCCGTTCTCTCGGAACACGGCCCTCGGTGCATTTCAGCCGTGCTCTTCGGCTCGAGGCTCCTCTCCATCGGGCCTAAGCGTGTTTGTCTTCCATGCACATGGAAAAATGCGCAGCATTTCCGACTTAATGGATCCAAGCAGAGAGGAAAGCTTATGGTAAAGTCAACTCCGCCAAGAACAAGCGCTCGGAAATCTTAAAAGCAGTTGCTCAACAATGCTTGCCTCCCTCTTGGAGGCGATTTCTGTTATTCATAGGGAGTATGTCATTATTTAAGCTCGGGCTGTATTCATTCGTTCGCCTCCCTCAAGCCCCAAAGCTTCCTTCTAGCCATGGCTCGAAATTCATCCCAAATGTTCAAAAGACGGCGACATGCTCATGTCAGTCTCAATCAAACCCAAAGTCTCCCAAGGCTCGAAACTCCCCGAAAGAATCTTGGCTCCTCGCCCCAATTATGCGAGGACACCTAAACCCATTTCCATGTTGCCCCCTTGGTATGACTGTTTTCCGATACAGCAAACACATGATAATCCCCAAAAATCAATGCTTGATAAACTTCTATTCGCAATGGATATTACAACCCCGGTTTCATGCGCCCGTTAAACCAAAAGTCCGCTTTCGTGAAAACATTTATGCACCATCCTCCACCGCGGCGAACCGCTCCTCGGCCATGGAGGCCTCGGGGTCGGTCCAGTTGACGGGCTTGTGGATGCGCAGGAGGCGCAGGAAGTAGTCCTCGATAACCAGCAGGTTGAGGAGGACGCCGTTGCAGTTCCACGCAATGCCGCAGACGATGGCGCCAGCGACGGCGTCGAGGACGAAGTGGTTCGCGGTCGCGACGATGGCGGTGAGGATGAGGGCGGGGTAGGACATGCCGGCGGCGACGATGGCGAAGCGCTTCCAGGGGCGCGAGCGGATCGAGGGCAGCGGGAGGGTGGCGACGGTCAGGCCGATGAGGAGGGAGTAACCGAAGTGCAGCGAGGGCATGGCAGCTATAGTCATGTCAGCATATCGTGATATAAATGAGCATATCCTGAGTTTGGCGTACCATATTGGTTGCAGAACTTGTTAGTGGTCCAGACACTGCTCTCGCCGTCGGCGCTGTGAACCGTGTCCACGAACCCGAAGCTCTTAGCCTCGCCGGCATCGGGGCCGTTGTAGGTGGGGTCACTCAGCAGGCGAGGAGGCATGCAGGGCCACAGGGTGAAGACGACGAAGGCGAGCAGGTTGCAGGTGGCCATGGTGCGACGACGGGCCTCGTACAGCGCAGGGCCGGCCGAGTTCCACCTAACGTTCTCGTTGCCGCCGAGCTTGGTGGAGATGGCGCGGCGTCTGCGGGTGGTCGTGACGTAGTACAAGATGACGAGGAAGAGGATGGTGCCGGGGATGTGGATGAAGGAGTAGATGCGGTTGATCCAGTGCATGACGGTGGGCAGCTGGAGGAAGTACTGCTGGACGGGCACCTCGATGAAGACGTGCAGGCGCTGCTCGAGGTGGATGAGCTGCAGGGCGTGCTTGCGGGCGACGTCGACGGTGCCCTCGTTGAGGGTCAGAGCCGTGAAGGCTCGGCCGACTTGGTAGACCTAGTATCAAACAATGTTAGGTGAGGCTGAAGACTGCTAACAGAAGAAGGCCTTTGCTTACCCAGTAGATCAGGGCCCAGTACCACGCCTCCACCAAGAACGGGAACTTGCGGAGCACGCGGGAGAGAAGGCGGTCCTTGAATACTCTGGTGTTTGGTGATGACACCATGCGCTGGTAGCCAAAGAACTTGATCCGTCGCATGCGTCGGGGCGGCTCCTCCTGCGGCGTCAACGTCGATGATGAGCTCCATGCGCCGACCGAGAGCAGCGACTCTTCCGAGTCGGGTGTCGAGTTGCCGGAGCGGCGCTCGTCGGAGCGCTTGTGTTCGACATCGTCAAAGTCGGATCCCCTCCACCCCAGGTTGTCGTAGGCGTTGCTGTTTCCGGTGTTGCGGTTGAAGTAGGTCCCGCCGAAGAGTAGGGTGATTACCACCAAGGGCTCTGCCACGGCACCGATACCCATATTTTCTGTCTCCTGCGCGGGTGTGTGGGCTGGTGGTGGTGGTGGTGGTGAGGTCGAGTGTGGCAGATGGGAAAGAGGTGAAAGCTGATGACGGAAGAAACAGCCGACCTGATGGGGAAGTTGGTGATGACTGAGTGAGGAGTGAGGGAAACTGGAGACTTGGCCGCGTCCAGGTCCGCCGGCGCCGCTTCCTATATGAAGAGCGGGAGGCTCGGGAAGGGGGTGCGTTGGTTCTCCCGAGGCGGTAGCGGATGGGATGGGAATCTGACGGACGAAGCCCACCGGGGAATGGTTCGTTGAGGTCCAATGACAGACACGAGCGATCGGAAGGGGGTGCTTGTCGGTTACGTGAGATTAAGATTGGTCCCGAACTCCAAAGGGGGCGAACGGTGCTAATAAGCTATGCGACGTGGTGCTGCCTTGTATGCCTTATGCGGGTGATGGGGTGGATGAGGCAAGGTTGTAGGTGGATGAGTTGTTGATGAAGTAAGAGGAACAGAGAGTGGTGAAGGGAGAGCTGGCGATGGGGAAATATTGAATGAGACGGTACATAAGGTACGGTAAGCCAACATGCATCACACAGCAGCAGCAGGCAGAAGGGCAGAATTCAGATAGGTAACGGGAAGCATGGGTGATGAGATGGAGCATGGTCGTAGGTGATAGCGACCATAATAGAACAGAAAACATTGGACATCGGCACAGTTTTGCGCACAACGGCCCTCAGCCCAGGCTCGGCACAACCCACCAAGCTGGACCTTGTCGTCTTTTGCCCGACCCGACCGCGTATGGATGGGATGGATTGTACTTTGCAGAGTGCCAAAGAAGGCCAAGAACACACAACAGTCGCAGACAAGGTTGGCGACCAGGGGTTCCCTCTGCCATTGCGCAGCGCTGCGAATACCGCACAAATCCTCCTGAGCGGTCGTTCGCACCTCGCACCTCGCATTTCGCATTGCCTCCACTATGTCTCTGTCTCTCTCGTTTTGCCCATGATTACCTTACCTATCCTTACCTGACTGAGCCCTCCCCTCCCCTCCTCCCACCTACCCGTCATGGCCTTGGGGGGGACTAGACAACACCAGCCACTGTCCACATCAGCGGGCTCCGCAAGGCTTCCGTCCCTGGCCGATTATCTTTGGGGGAGGAGGAAGGCAAAGGCAGATCGTCTGGAAAGCCGCGCACACTCGCACAAGGGCTGTCGCGTGGGCTGGGCAGAAAAGCTCTGCAAGGTCTGCCCGAGACCCTGTCCATGACCACGGAATTCCGCGCTGCAGCCAATGGGCGAGCACGTTGTGGGCTTCTTTTCCCTTCTCATCTGGGGCCGGCGGACTGTGCTCCTGCGACATCCCTGACGTGGACGAATCGCCCGCCAAGTGCCGCGAGCGCCAAGACGAGGGTCACACCTTGCGCTGCTCTCTTGCTCACCCGTCTTCCGGTAGTGCTGGTAGGGAAACTTTGCGCGTACTTTGACGGGTACTTACCGCAGGAGTCTGTTCTGTTTGTACCCCGAAAGAACGGCTCCTAGCGGTGGTGGTTGGTGCATGTGCTTTTGTGGTGGCCAACGGTCTGGGATCTGCGGGAGCAAGACAGCAGGAACACCACGCAAACCAAACAAAAGAAGGGACGAAATGTCGCGTGCTCAGTCAACAGCAGCCAGCAGCGGACGGGACGGGTAAGCTTGCGTTGGCAGGTCGCCGTTTACCGCTCTGACGTGACGTATGGACAGAGCTTGAATGCCCGGTGCAAAGCGGCGAATTGAAAGCACGTTCATTCAAGAGAGACTTCTTCTTCTTTCATGCCCCGAAAAGGCCGAGGGGCTACAAGCTTCCGTTTCGCCTCCTGTCTCTTCTTCTGACTCTGCGGCCTTCAGCCAAGCGATGTCAGAGACATTCCTCAGGAACGGTGAACCTCCTGTTGCCCACAAAGGACGACAAGCTCCGACGTCTGGATAGGAAACGCGGCTCTGTCACTGGACGCGCGAGCCAGGGAAAGTGGGCACGAGGGATTCTTGATGACGGCAGCGGGCGACGAAGAGACAGCAATGAGATGAGCGACACCCAATCGCGCAGGGATGGGAAGGGGGGCTGTGTGGGGAGGACTGCATCCGCGACATCCGACAATCCGTCTTGTCGTTTTGGTCCGTTCGCCGTCCACTCTCCGCCGTTCCACCGCATGGATTTTTTTCAGTTATTTGTGGGAGGGGGATGGATGGGGTGCCAACACGGGCGGACGGTGGAATCCGACAAGAAGGAAAAGAAGCAAAGAAAAATTCAACAGCCAAGACAGACATGACTTGGGACAAGAGCAAAAACGCTGCCTGCCGCCCCCGGCTGCGCTCGCTCAATCTCCGCTCCGCTCCATGACCCCCTTTCCACTGACTCCAGCCTCTTTGTGGCATTGTCTTGGGGCGCACGTTGGGACTCTGGAGACTCTCTGCAGTTTCATTCCCGGCGCTCGTCTGACGAGCACGCGACCACCTACCAGGCCCAAGTGCGGTCCACGTATTGCACACACGCGACATCGAATCAGCCAGTCGATAAGGAGGGCCAGTCGGTGAGATTGAAATGGTGGTGGTGGTGGTGGGTGGTGACACTTGGTGATGGTCGCCGACGAAACAACAACACGCGCTGCTGCTTCATCCCACGGGGCGTCGGTCTTGTTCAACACGCCGCCGCCATACTGCCTTTGGGAGGAAGAGGAACCAGAAAGCCCTGCACCGATAGACACCGACTGCTAATTTGCGATTGCTGGCCGAACGGGCTGATGGTGGGTGGCATGATGGGAAGAGAGGGGCCGGGGCTGCCGCCAATTCAATGCGCTGGCTCGATGAGAAAATGTCTTGGCATACATCATCACTTTGGCGTCTTGGCGGTCCATCGAAACATATGCTCGGCCTTTTTCCCCCATCAACAAACAGTGTTCGCCGAGCGCTGAATGCAAGCTGCTTTACTTCCCCGCAAAGCACCGAGTTGAGTCTCTGAGCCCCGTCGATGTTTTTAAGTGTCCGAGACACCGAATTCCTGCAATATCAAACAAGTGAAAAGCGTCTCTGATCATTGATGCGTGATGACAGGCGCTTATCAGATTGAAGGGAGCGGCCACTAGGCCTGTTCCGGAGTACACGCGTACACAGACTGGATCCCAAAGATCATCCGTCATATACGCGGTCTATGCAATCCACACAGTCATACCGCGTATTGCTCAAAACGGAAGCTCGAGCAGTGGCGTGCCAGACCCTTGTCGTCAATTACGGCAGATGCCGAACGTCGACGGCGCCAAAAACTTTTTCCACCTTGCGCCGTCGTCGGCTGACATCGCCGCTAAAGCATGGCGGCCTTGACCATCGGCGAAATCATCAATCCCGGTCCGTTATTACGGAACAACGCAGGGCGGGCTAGGGCGGTTTTTTGTAGAGTTCTAACACTCTGAGTTGCGGAAAACAGCAGGCCTCCGCTCCGGATGCTCCGGGGCGCCTCAGCCCTACCCCGACCCCAACCCCGACAGGCCTCGGCGTCGGTGAGCTAAACTTTCCGACCCTCGGTGCCGACCTACTGATTATTATATATCTCTCATCGGCCCTGGAACAGGGGTTTCTTGGCGGGGCCAGACTGAAAATCCATCCAAGCCGGACACTCGCCGGCGGACTCGATGATGTGATGCCCTCAATTATTTCCGACCCGACTTTACCCAGTAGCCTTTAGGGTCGCCGGTGATCGGTAAACACCAATGAAGAATTTGTCCGGAGGCCGCTCCGGCTCGTGATCCTCGCAATACCACGTGCATACTTCGCCGGTATCGAGTTTATTTTCAATGGAGACCTTGTGGCATCCCGAGCATCCCGCAGGATGCCAAGACTCTGATCACCGTCGCTTGAAGCTTGTTAATCTGTCGCCTGCCGAAGCTGACTGTACCCGCGCGCTGAGTCGTATCTGCTGGTGCCAAGAAACTCACACGGAGTCTAGGCCCCTGGACTGCGGGCGCTATTGTGGTTGTTGTCGCTGGGGTATTTTGGCCCCAGAAGGACCATCCACGAGCTAGCTGTGCAACCTAACGGTAACATGATGATGCCCAAGTAAACCCATCAAGCCCCCAGAGTCTGACAGCTGAATTGGTTAGGGTGCTTAAAGACACTGCTGTTGAGGCACCGCGGCTGGATGCCATACATAAGGGCAAGTTGCAATAGCGGCCCTTGGCCTTCATTCTTTGGGTGTTAGCACAACCCTTGTATAAACGAGATGTGAATGAATTTCCACTGAAGAGAGTACTTTCGCCTTACTCGAGAGCACATGGGCAAGCGCCATTCTCATTGCTTGAAACCAGGCTAATCGGGGTTGTAGATGTTTAAGTTGGCAGACAGCCATAAGTGACTTCGAGACATGAACTCGGTACTTTTTGGGGCCTATTAGTTGACCCCCTAACCCGTTTTCGGCTACCCCTGAAGTGCGTACGACCCCTCAGTCTATCTCAGTGAGCCAAAGGTTTGCTTAACAGCTAGCAGAGCCCTGATAGCTTGAAGAGCCCTCATAGCCAGAAGACTAGAGGGAATCTTCCTCGCTCCCTGAGGAACACCAAGGGGTGGCGCGGGCTAAGGGTGGCGAATAGCGGGGAAGGTGTAGTAAATTGTAGGCTTCTTTCTTTCTGAGAGAAATAGCATTCTTGTTGTAACCTTGCTGGCTTGTCCACGGATAGCTACAACAGATTTTGATGGCATTTACAGACACCTACATAGCCGAGACTGTGTTGGATGTGTACTATTGATCAACCCACATACCCAGCACAGGCGGAACATGAAATCTAGCCTTCATTTGCTGCATTGTCATCTGATTCAAGCGTTTCTTTTCCCGTTTTCTAGCAAACCGCATATAATTAGCGCCCGCGTACCAAATGAACGTAAGGCAGGGGGGCTGGAGAGAAGATCACAAGCCGCACCAGCTTAAGCCTCCTGGAACGAAGAGTTGCTACAGCGTCTGTGAGACGTTCTTATGATAAATGACAGAATC